CGCAGAGCCCGGCCGTGCCGTGGGAACACGGGGCCCCACACGGCCCGGTTTCCCCCAGCCCACCGTGCACTGCCATCAGTGGGACCCACTGGGCACCGTCTCAGAGCGAAGCTAAGAGAAAGGACACAGAAAGGTGATGGATGAAGAGATCTCGGAGTCTGTTGGTGCTGTTACACATAATGCCTCATTTTGCAAAAGCTGTGATGTGAGCAACAGCCCAACTGCCCTTCTGATCTTTGCACAGCAATGACGTTGCTCAGCACTTTTTACCTTTGGGCAAAAAGGGAACGGGGTGACAGGATGGTTCACTTCTAGCCTGAATTTCACTTCATTTCAGCTGTACCCGTTTTGTTTCGAGGTCAGGAGACAATTGATCTAGTCATTGGATTTTCCTATGAAAATGGTTTCATTATAGGGAAGTTCCTATGGGAGCAGGATGTTTCTTTACAAACTTGTTTTACGAGTTGGACAGATGGGTGAAAAGCCCTTTGGTTGTGTGATAGCAGAGGTTGTCCCCCGAAACCATCGGTCAGTGGGCAAAGAACGGCACTTTCATTGTCTCTGTCTGCAAAAAAAAGAGGAACAGAGCAGAAGTGGCACACAGATGGTCATAGACAACATACTGCTGCAGCAGGACCCACCCCGGTCACACTGACTGTACCCAACCCTGCAGTTAGGGGTGAGAAGCACAGTAGGATTTCAGCTCTTCCATGACACAGGAGATGAGGAAGGAGGATGGTGGTTTGATTCAGAAGGCCTTGTGTGATCAGATATTTCCCAACCATCAGGCTGCAAAGCTGGAGGTGGTGAGCGCTGGTTCACAACCTGCTGTCTGCAGGACCCTCCCAGCAGTATTGAGGGCTGCAGCCATCAGTTCTGGGAAGGCACTTCCTATGGGGAGTGCACGTCTATGCCGTGAGTGTCAGAAGTATCCCTGCCTCACGTCCCATTCTCCTGTGTGGATCCGAGAAGCGCATGTGTGTGTGTATGTGACCTTTCCCTCCTCTCAGTTTGATGTGGGCTCCCCAAGTCACCGTTTAACCCCAAGAGTCCGTCCTGCTCAAACCTTTCCCATTGACAGCAGGGCAGTCCCAGAAGGAAGCTCACTGCAAACCGTGTCAGGCCAGCAGCTCGTTTTCCCTCGATGGAGGGATTCCCCAGAGGACTGGTGACCGCTGCTCGGTGAATCTCTTGTGCTGTGTGCTGGGATCTCAGCTCACTCACAAACACCAACACTCTGTGCTTTTTGTTTGGCCACTGCTCTGCACCGCCAGCAGCACCGCGAGAGAGCGGGCAGGGAAACAAAGAGCAGCAGCAGCTGCAGGAGCGCAGCGCCGGCCCTTCCCGTGCAGCACGGCCGCCTGGATGTTATTGCAGTGGCTGTGCACCCACCCAAGTGTTTCTGCGGGCCCAGGAGCCACGCGGCTGTGACGCCGTGTGAGCTCGGAGCTTATTCATGTTCAGGAATGGGAGGGTCAGGGCCATCGGCACACACCAGCATCCTGCTGCCTATTATTTCCTGCCCGCGCTGGCGTCGCACCAAGCCCTAACATGACAGGTGGATGGAGTTCACAAGGAAATAATGTCATGGGCCAGTTTTCCAGGAAAGCTGTTAACTCTATTCACAAAGTCGGGTCCTCAGATTGAAGGGGAATGGGGCTGAGCAGAGGCTGAGGAGGGCTGCTCCACTGCTATTTACTTCAAAGGTTGTTCACCGACATCTCTTGTTGTGGTCCTGAAGTTTTCGCCTCTCAATAGGGCCCTCTGCTTTGAGACCAGACTGTGGCTGAATGCTGGGAGCAGACAGTGGGAAGTAGGATGAAGTGACACCCAGGGCTGATGTTGGTGTGGGGACTTCAGACATGAAGGATGTATCAGCAGCCAGAGCTGCACAATTTGTAGCACGCTGTGCCCTTCGGCAAGGAGCTTTGGGGAATTCCTGCGCTCCCCGCAGCACTGCATTTGCTGTCATGTATTCTCCTTCTGTCCTCTTTTCCTCTCCGTTTTTGAAGTTTAATACTATTTTCTCTCCATCTAGAGAGCATGGAAGAGTTAGGAAGTGAAAATAATTAATTCAAATGAAGCGTTTTCCAAAAATGCTGTGTTTGTCACGAATGCAAATCTTTGGATGCACAGTTGGAACAATAGGACTCCAACTGCTGCGGCGGGAGGAAGGATCAGGTCCTCCACCAACCTGAATGACAGCCAGCAATTCAAGTCAGTTCTGCAGTTTGAGACCATTGTTCTCCATGTATTTTAGTCTGCAACATTTAATCTGCTGCAGAGTTTCACCAGGATCTCCATTGCATTTCACACCATTCTTTGTTCGTCGAGGTACTTCCACCTAGAAAAGCCCTTTGTAACTGGCACAGGCTAACACCCCCTGCAAAGGCATCAGAGCAATGGGCAGATGCACAGAATGGTGGCTGGCAGTGCTGCCGTGCTCCTCTTTTGGAGCCCATTGTAAGAGTGAGATGTGGAGATTCCCCATCCCCCTGGAGACTGTCAAGAAGAAATCAGGTGAAACTGACGGCTGTGTGAGCACCTCCAGGCAGGCAGCAGCAGCCCTGGGCTCGGGCTCCAGACAAGCAAAGCTGAGGCAGGAACACGAGGCAAACACTGAGCCTTGTTACAGCGAACCAACTCTTATGGTAAAACTTGTGTCCCAGGCTGTGAGCGGCTCTGTACAATAGCAATGCAGGGTGTAGTTACAGACACAATTTCCTGTGCTTAAGTTTGGAAATTATTTTCTAAGATCGCCGTAACATTTGCCCAGCGCACTGCTGCAATTCCCCTATTAGATAATTTTCTATCCTTGTGAGGGCAGTTTTTCTTACGCAATGCTGCCAGAGCTTTCAGGAAGGGAGCGACAAGCAATTGTGGCCATAAACTTTGCATCAGCTCCCACCCAACCTCTCCCAGAACCAAAATACCATTTGTCGCGCTCAAAGCCTTTTCACACCAGAAGGGAATGCGTTTCGGAGCCGGAAAGTCATTGTGATCTGTGCAGGGCTGCGTCCTCCCAGCCAACTTCTGCCTTTTGGGTTCCCACCAGGCAGCGCTCGTGGAGATCCAAAGGGCTCTGCATCACAGAGCTGCACAGCCCCCATCCGCCCTGAAAGCCCCATTCTGGTGATGGAGCTCCAAGTCTGGAGCAGAACCTTTCTGCTTGTAGGTAAGCCGTTCGCAGGAGTTGGCCCTTCTGAAAGAATTATTATTATTCTTTTCCCTTTTGAAAACGGTTCAGATCGAAGGGTATCACCACCCCCTGGTAAGAGGAAGGTGCTATGCCTGACACATGGTGTTTGTGGAGCACCTCCCTGACAACAAGCAGTCAGTAAGTGCTCAAAGGAATGTGCCTTGCTGTGTAGCAACCTGGACAAAAGGTGCAGGGAAAGAGATGATGAGAATGAAAAAGTCTGCAATACATAGATACATGGGAAGAGAAAATAGAACTTGTGGGATTCATCTTGGATGTCACCACTGGCCATCAAGATGTCAGTAGCTACTTCAAATTGTCCCCAGTCATCTGTGTTCCCTTTCTGTTGTCCTGCACCTTGCACCACCACTTCCCTTCCACGTGCTGCACATTGCAGGCATCGCAGCAATGGAGAAGGGAAGGGCTGCTGAAGGGGACCGCTGTGCTCCAGCCCAGCCTGGGCGCCGAGCACGTGCTGGGGGTCATGGCGTCCCTGCAGACCCAGCAGCTCACTGCTCTGCAGCCGGAGGAAAAAGAAATGGGGAAGGGGAAAGAGGAGTCAGAAAAACTATTGTGTTCCCAGGGGAAAAAAATAAACGGCCCCATTTAGCTTATCCAGCTTTGCTAATGTCAATCACTTGTCTCATTTTAAACAGGAAAGACACCGCTTTAGTCCACCTGTTCCATTATTTATCACGCTGTGCATTTCCTATGAATTGTCGCTCATGCAAAACCTGTACATCGTAAGGAGACACCCTAATATTTTTAATGACCTTAAGCAAAGTGATTGACATCAGACACCGGTGTCAGATGTTCTGGTGACGCAACATGTTCTCCCAGCAGCAGGAGAGCTTCCTGCCGCGATTAAGATAGAGCTCTGGAAGTGCTAAAATGTGTTGTCAGCTTTCCTCTGATGCAAGTGATTTTATTATAGCGTCTGGTAACCACGGAGTGTGGCAATGCAAATACTGACTCCAAACATCCCCTCCAGTACTTATAGCTTGCTCTATTTAAAACACAAAGTGCACTCTGCAAACGCGGGGTTAAGTTATGCATGCGACGAGCTCAAACCACGCTGGGCAGAGGACAAGGTGCCGCCTCACCCGGCCAGCCTGGGCGGCTGCAGCACAAGCATAGAGCTCAGGGCTGACCTGCAGGAGGCAATGGGACGGATGCGGCAGTGCTCAGCAGCTGAGGTGGCAGAAACTGCTCCCAGCCCTTCTGGGTTGGGGGAAAAATGAGAAAAAGAGGAGTCCAAGCAGCCCCTTGGCCACCCGGCACCTCATTCACACCACAGTTTGGCTCAGCACTGCTCGCCCTTTGCGATATGGAAAATGTTCTGTTTGGTTGTGGTTTGGGGTCAGCCAAGAAGCCCAAGGGTTTCCTGGGACACTGCCCAAGAAAAGTTGGAAGACCTCTGAAACACAGCATTTACAGAATGAAACACCTCATGCATATGGGGGCACCTGAGAGCTGTGCTTTCTTACAGACACGTAACCCCACAGCCCACCCAACAACACCGCAGGACAGCACTGCTTCCACCACCAGCTGCTGAGAGCTGGGAGCGATGTGAGCAGTGCTGGGCCTGTCCTGCAGAACGTGCAGCTCCTCAGCGACTGTGGCTGGTCGGACCATGGGAGAAATGGGCTCTCAGACCCAACCCTCATTCTGCAGGGAGCTCTGCAAGAGATCAGCATTCTGTGCTACCACAGGTGCTGCTCCACAAACACCAACAAGGATGGTGAAGCACTCAAAGCAGAAGACACGAGCTGTCTTGTAATAATACAAAAATCTTAATATCTAGCAGCACTGAATATTATTTTAATGAAATTTAATTTTATAGCAAAATAATCAAAAGTGCTAAACCCGACCACTTCAATTTACAAAAAAAGTTTTGTGTTTTAAGCTATAACCATACCTCGTTACTTAGGTTAGACAATACAATTACACATTTCTACCTATTTGTATTCAATAATAGGACAAAATTAATATTAGTTGGTTTAAAAAGGGGGGAAAGTACCACGGATATTGGGAGGGGGAAAGAGTTACATAAAAGATACGAATCAGCTTATTGAGCAATCTGCAGTTTGCTTGGTTGCTATTGCTTTTTTTTTTTTTGCTCTTTTTGTTGAGTATCAGTGTCAGCTGCAGAATCTGGCCGTAACCCACTGCAAATGCTACGAGTTCTCCCTTGGTTAAATGTCACAGTGCGGATTTGAGGAGACCTCCGGCGTTTCCAGTCAGTTCAAATTATGGTCTTGGGTCTCAGAGTCCCCTTTCCAACACGAGCAGCACACTGGAGAATGCACTTCTGGCGACTGCAGTTATGAAAACAGTTTTCTGTGCAGGAAAATTGTTTTTTTCCTCTGTCTTGGAAAGGATCACTATTACATCTGTGGTGAGAAAAATAATAAGAGCGTTTGCAGACTTGTTAAGAGCCTTTGTTAATCCATCCCGTTTCCGTGTCAGCTCATTCCCAACGTTAAATTAAAAGCTGCAGTCTGTCCTATGGCAAACAGGAGGGCTGGCGGTGAGGCTCTGCTGCTGCCCACGCCTGGCAGCTGCCTTCAGCCAAACAGGGTTCGCTGGTTTGCCACAAGCGCCGTCTGGCTCTCGCGCCTCTTTGCTTTCTTGTTTTGCTGCCTGATCTTCCAGCACACGGCGCTGGAGGCCAGCAGGAGGAGTCCTGATGACAAGAGCACCAATCCGAACACGGAGATGATCGATCCATGGGAATTGAAGCTGTACGCCACAGCAGTGACCACGACGCCGGCGATGAGGATGACCACTCCGAAGGGAACGGTGCAGCGGTAACAGGAGAGCTCTGCCCCCCCCGTGGCGGCCGTCAGCTGGCATTCGCTGACCAGGGGGATGGTGGTTATCACACAGTCATTGTTGTTACTCTTCTCTGTGGATGTGGGGTCAGCGTGCTTTGGGGTGCCCAGGATCTCTTTGATAGGTTCGGTTGTCATCTTGATTCCCTGCAGCCCGTCCGCTCTCAGGCTAGAGCAGGCACTGCTCAACACTCAGCACACTGCAGAGAGAAGAGCCCGAGTTCAACAACATCAACATGGCAAATGGGGACAGAGAGGCACCCACCTGGGGCGGCAGACAAGCAGGGACCCTGAACCCACAGGGATGAATGCACAAGCTCAGTTGTCACTGATTGCAGTGGGTCTGAATCAGCTCTCACATCACTTGTACACAGTGCTGACAGACCCAGAGCAACACCGACTGAAAGTGTTGTGGGACGACCTGACTGTAAGCTGTGCACTGCAGACAGGAGTTCTGGATGCAGTGCACTGCCATAGGCTCACAGTGTGCTAAATGTGTGTAACGTAACCAGGGACGCAGACGGCACCACTTCTTGTCATCACTTGCTCCCTCCCTACAAAAGGGCTTAACCATTCCAACAGAAAGGTTTCAAGCTTCCCACGCAATAATTCTTTTTTTAAATTAAATGATATTCAAATTACTTTCTTATTGATCTGTTGATGTCAGTATAAAGGACAGCAGGAACTACTCTCTCGAGCACAGATACTGATGCCTGTATGAAAGCTTGCATGCCCAAGGACTCATAACCATTGATCTGAGTTTTCCAAAGAGCTGAAGGAGATGGCACGCAGGAGAGCTCAGCTCTGGGGCACTGCACACTGCTGCCTGACAACAGCACAGCATGCAGCCTGGGGAACAAGGAAGAGTGCTGGCAGTGCTGTAACACTTTTATCACTTTATCACCTTCACATCTGTGGCTAGGAAGTTAATTGCCAGACACTTGTGTTCTCCTTTTCCTTTCCCACCACTCCCACCCTTGTTGCTAAGATATATCCCTCCATACGGAGAGCCCTTGGTTTGGATCTCTGTACCTCGTGTGAGTGACCGTGTGTTTTGTGAGAAAGGATTCCACTATTTTTAACACACCCACACCCAGGCTGTACCCAGACCACATCAGAAAGTTTGTCATTGAGTTTCCTTGAACTCTAACAAGAAAAAAGTTCAGCTCTGGTTGGACAAAGCTTTTGTTCTACAGCAGTAAGGGCGAGCGCTGCACTAGATTTCTGCTGCACATGGCTGCAATGGTGCTCAGCCCCATGAGATGCTCTGCAGCTCCCAGCCGGGCAGTGCTCCCTTCCCCAGGGCACCACTCGGTGTCTCCAGGGCTAACAGGGGATCCAAGCAGCACCCAGCAAAGCAAATACATCGTGCTGGCATTGTATGTGTCCAAGGTTCTCCTGGGCACTGGGCTTTGTCCTCTGAAGCACAACACACAACTCAGCATCCCTTGTACCATGGGGAGAGAGCAGCCAAGCCACAGATTTGTGCTAGAATGCCACTGATGTCCCCAATGGATCTAAGCCCAAGTTCTGCATTCTCTGTGATAACTTACACAACAGACTCACCCTGGTGCCACTACTCTGCTGCACTTCTTGTCCACAGGGGATTACAGAAGTTCAGCACAGTGACCCCCAAGACAGATCCCCAAACACTAAGCAAGAATCCATTTGTTCAATGACTTATTCCTAAATCTGAGGGGGACCTGCTTGCAGCATCCCTGTCTGTTTGCTTCAGACACATCCTCAGTGAGCTCTGTCTTTTTCTATATCTTGTACAGAGATTTATGAAGAAGAAGAGATACTCATACAGTTAAAGCTAACATGGATTTTTAAAAAAAGAAAAAGAACAATAATCCTAAACTACCACAACTCCATCAATGGCAAAACGTCTGCAGACCTCTGAGGCGCACAGCCGACACCAGCACCAGGAGGTAAGCTGACAGGCACTTATACAAAACAAACAAACAAACCTCTATTGAAATGCTGTGAGTTAAATAAACAGCAGAACCCATCAGAAGTAAGAGTAAAAGTATTCATCCCAGAAAACAGCCCAAGGTCCTCATTGCCAGCAGAGTCATTTCTGACTTACGCCGACAGATGACTTGGTTCGGGTTTCAGGGTAAGAGATTTCAGCAAAATCCCCAGCAGCACAGCATCCCCTTGCTGGCCAGGCCAGAATACTTGCTTAAGGAGCTATTTTGACTTCCAGTAAGAATGCACTGATGTGGCAATCCGTGGCTAACACTGGGAGAGGAATCTGACCGCGGAGCACACACTGCCTGCTGATAGGTATAAACTGAGATGTGGGCAAAGGCACAAAGCACAGAAGCACGCACACTTACCGGGGCCATGAGAAATCCATCGCCGCACACTCAGAGAGCAGAGGGCGACTGCCTGAGATGTCCCCAGAGCCAGACTCCCAGATCCAGGCAGAGCTGGGCAGTGGGAAGAGCGTCAGGCTTTGAGGCGTCAGATGTCGCTGTGTGATGAACCGGAGGTGACAAAGTTCTAGCATGGAGGTTTCCTACAAGAAAAGAGGTTGGATATTTATCAGCTTCCTACAAACCACCTCCCGAATGGAAAAGCTCCCAGTGCGTGCAGTGTAGCCATAGGGAGCAGGGAGGTGTTCTCCCCCCACCTCTTTCCTTGTGCCCACTGCTGTGCACCACTCAGTGTGGCTGATGCGACGGGAGCTGCAGCCCAGGTAAGTCGCCTGAACAGAGCTATGGGCAGGAAAGGGGAACACAGACAAGTTATCACAGCTAACATCTCCAAATCCATTTCTATTGCTGCTGCCACCTGAACCAAAGAACCCAATCACAGCCCAGAACGTTCAGGCATTTGTCCCTGCTGTGCATCCCAATGCTTTGAGCAAAGCCCTCCATCTCCTCTCCTGGTTCCCACCTGCAAGCTGGCCGTGACACCTCCTGCCAGAGCTGCCTTTCAAATCTATTCTGTTATACAGATAACTAATAGAATGCCCCAAACTCCTCTTGAATAAACACAATAAAAGGCAAATCAAGCCCAAGAACACAGTGTGATAAATGTAATTTTCTTGTGTTTAATATCCTTCATTTCTATTATGTGACCATTCAGAGCAAGGCAGGGCTGCAGCAGTGCTGTGCAACAACTGCAGAAAGCAGTGATGGAAGCTGTTCTCAGCTGCAGAAACTGCAGTGGATCCACCAAGCAGTGGAGCAAAACTCACAGCAGCAGCAGAGTTCTGTTGCTAATCTTAGTCAGCATTCCCTTCCTACATGTGTGTGGTCATTTCAACACTGAGGATCATCTCAACACTGAAGCAGGAGCTCCTATGTGGGGATGAGAATAAATACAGGAGATCATACAGTGATTTTATTTTCTTTGCTTTTTCTCTTTTTAATTCCTGCAGACCATGGTAGCATTTCACAAACACGGGCACTTATGGCCCATGTTCTTCTCCAGCGGCTCCTAAGAAATAATCCTCTCAGCACTGCTCTGAGGTGCAGTGCTGCCAGCCTTCACAGTTTTAAAGTGATGCCTTTATAAAACAAAACTCTGTCAGATCAACTTTTAGAGACAGGATTTCTTCCCTTGCTCTTCTCGCCCTCACCACAAAGGTGAGAAGCAGAAATACATGGAATGCACACCTTACAGTCCCAGTACTGGATCACTGCTCGTGGCAGTGCTGTGCTCCTAGGAGCTGATACCTGTGTGACTGCACGGCGCTGCCATTCTGCAGCCACTGCAACTGCTTCCCTTTCTGCATTTTACTCCAAACCTACAGGACACATTCAAGTTTTCATGTATTCTGGCACAGACCTGACTCCCTATACCTAGCATATTTCAGACCCAACGATGCCCACGTGTCACATTGGACTTTGCATTAGAGCGACTACGAAAATCTGCAACAAAGAGTGTGTCTGTACCGAGAGGAGAGCCAGAACTGGGGTCCAACACATCGAAGTGATCCTAAACACAACCCCACAGCAACTCCTCACGGGAACGCTGCTGGGAGTGCGCAACGAGAACTCAGACCCAGGGGCTGCAGACCCTCAATAACAAGGCAGGAGAAAAGCGCGCTGCGCCCTTGCCGACTGCGTGAGCCTCGGGATGCGCGCCGGCTCCTCACCAAGTCCGTCGGGAAAATCACCGCCGGACCACAGCGTCCTTCAGGCGCGGTTGGGGCTCGGGGAGGAGCAGCCGAACCTTCTCGCACACAGACTTTGCGAGTCTCAAAACTTTCGCACACATCGGTAAAACGCCACAAACGCAGCGCGACTCCCGTCTATTGCCACGGAAAGCGGCGCGGCAAGGCAGCAGCTCCGCCTGCGGAACCCCGAAGGCTTCGAGTGGCGGTCCTGTCCCCGACGTCCCCGCACACACAGCCCCGCGCCGAGTCGGGATCGCGCCGCAGCCGCACCGGAGCGCGACGAGCAGCGAGAGGCGTCCGGCGCTGCGCTGCGAGCCGAGCTGTGCCGTGCCGTGCTGTAGCACGCTGTCCTGTGCCATGCTATAGCACGCCGTGCTGTGCCATGCTGTAGCAAGCCGTGCTGTGCTGTAGCACGCCGTGCTGTGCCATGCTGTAGCATGCTGTGCTGCGCTATAGCACGCCGTGCTGCGCCGCGTTGTGCCCTGCTCCAACACGCCGTGCCATAGCGCCGTGCCACGCCGTACTTCCCGACGCTACACTGCACGCTCCGCACCGCCCCGCGCCGAGCCGTGCCTTACCTCCCGACTGCCGGGCGCGACTGCGGCGGCCACGAGCCCGCAGCAGCGTAAGAAGGGGATGCAGCTCGCGGCACAAGGGACTGTAAACAAAGTTCTCGGAGAGAGCGAACCAACCAAGGGACCGCAGCAAATTCAGCTGCGGGAGCTGCCGGGGAGGGGCGGCCGCTCACACCGGGCAGGTCCGCTCGGCGCTGGGCAGGAGGAGGGCTGGCCCCGGGGGCAGGGCTGGCCTTGGGGGCCGGGCCGAGCGAGCGGCGGGCGCTGCGCGGGGTGCGGGGCTGGGACGCGGGGTCGGGTGCCGGAGTCGGGTCCAAGAAAGGCTCTGGCCGGGCAGAGCCCTCCAGCCGCGGCTATGCATGTAGGGATGCACTGCTGGCGGTCACGAAGCGTAGATTCTGGGGGCTGGAAGGGAATCGCGGAGGTTCTGGGGCTGGAGGAGCTGCGGCTCCTGCACCGCCTCTGACCGCGCTGACTTCCATGGGGAGGAAGGGCACTTGGGATGACATCCGTAGAGGATGGAGTGTCAGGTGTCACCTAGAAACATTTTAATAGGGTTTTTTTTACACTTTAATGGCTCGTTGAAGTGGAACGTCAAATGCTACAGAGGTTTGGGATGGAGGAGTGGGAGTGTGGTGTATTTTGGGCTGTAATTTCCTTTGTTTTTACAAAAAAAAAACAAATATATTTTGTTTTTAAAGCTTGTAAATGGGCATGTTTGCATTTTGTGGTTCAGTTTACCAGAAGTTTATGTTTTAAAAGCCCCATTTTATCAATGATAGATAAAAGAGCAGGGCACCAGATGTATTCAATCAGCTGCTCTGTCTCTGAAAGCATGCCTGTACTTCTGACTCCCTCTCCAGTCTCAGCGCCAGTGAAGCTGGTGGCAGTTTTGCTATTCACTCCTGCAGGGCTAGGATTTCACCTCTGTGTGTTAGGAAGGTCTTTGCAGTGATGGAGATCCTGCCAGGGCATCTGCCCAGCATTCTGGCAGAGCTCCACAGCTCTGTGCAACAAACTGGCAGCTTTTCCCCATTTGCTGTGTTCCCTCCAAGCGCACATTTTACAGAGATGAGAAGCAACTGGGCCTGAGGGGAACTGTTAGTACAGAGCATCCCCTGGGCCGCCACGTTTGGTCCTTCCTACACAAACAGCATAGCAGGTATTAGCTTTATTAAACTTGCCAAGTTCCACCTCCAACCAGCAGGGTTTCCTGTTTCTCCCATTGGAAGGCTATGAGCATTATTCAGCTGATACATAGGAGCCTCTATGCTGCTTGTAGCTGAATATCCTCAGCTAGGCATGGGTGAACAAGCCTTTGGCTGAAATCGATCTTCTGACTTTTGGCAATTAGCCCTCTAATGTATTAAGATATGGAAATCATTTTCAGTCTTATTTGCAATCATCAGTTTTCCAGATGAGCCTTCATCTGTGTTTTGCATGGAAGTGCAAGTGTTCTTCTGTCTCTACTAGAAACACTAACATTGCATAATCATCCTGTGTTAGTTCAGTGTATTTGGATTTCTCTCCAGTATTGGTGCCATTTATCATCTTGTATCAGAAATTACTGCTGTTAGCACACGAGTGCATGACCTACATTTCACCCCATTCCTATTACATCAATTTCTCTCTAGTCCTTCCAGCGTGTTACTTGGTTCTCCTGTGTTGATATTAGACCTCCCTCCCATGCTTATCCCACCAATGGTTTCATTATTACGTTTTCACTTTTCCATGCCAAGTTTATTGCTGAAAGTGTTACATAAAGGTACTGAAAGCTTTACACAAAAGAACTCCCAATAGTGATTTTTGAGGAACTAATCCAAAGCACACCTAAGCCTTAAAGCTGGCCTTAGGATCTCCATGTCTCTGTACGAAGGACAGCAGTAGCACTGGCCTAGAAATTCTCTCCTGCACTCAGGGCAATTGTCTCCTTTTTGTGGAGTAGAAAAGCCGTGATGAAAAGCAGTAGGAATGATCCCCTCTGCGGATGAGGGATAGTGGGCTCTTCTTCAGAGGGGTGGCTTTGTAGCTGTGGGGCACAGAAGGGCTGCAGACAAGAGGGCATCCACTCCTCTGGCCTTTAAAAAGCAAATGACTGACTGCCTCTGCTTCTTTTGGTGCTGCTGTCCTCAGCACGCATACAGGGACAGAAGAACCAATCATGCCATAAGCAGCTCGGTTGGCACCTGAAAGGAATTCAGTGCAAACAGCTGAGGAAGCTGCAGGACTAAGCAACAGCTGCGGCGAGGGCTCACAGGTTCACAGCTTTGGCTGGCCATATCTAACTGTGCACAGATCCCCTTTAGGACCTGCCCCAAATGACAAAATCTCCTCTCTGGCTTCCACGCAGCTGCTTTGTAGGAGGTGCAGCTCGGACAATAGGGAGAACCGCGTGTGATTCTGGAACACCCGCAGCCTGCTCAGACAGCAGAGCTTTACTCCTACATTGAGCAATGCTCTGCCTACTGAGACACACTTGCAGTGCTTCATGGCTTCCTTTGAGTTTTCAGCAGTCTCCTGGGCCTTAACAGCACAGCAAACAGTGACTCATTTCTCTGGCAAAGTGCACCCACTGTGGGCTCCCTGTTCAATGTGTTCTTCTTGCCTTTTTCCTAACTCTCCACTGAGTTTTCCTTTATTTCAGCCCTAAGCCCACACACGGACACAACTCACCAGTTCAGAGTGCTCCCTGGAACTTTAAGAAAGCAACCTTTCAACATGTTTAACGCGTTGGAAAAAATTGTCCTTATCATGTCATGTAGCTCAAGATTGGGAAAAGAGTCCTTAACAAAGCCAGCATGGCCAGAGAACCAAACGTCCAGCTCACACAGAGTGCTTTATCTCTCCTCTTCCTAAAAGCTCCCAGCACCTCGGCAGGGCTCAGCACTGCTGGCTGGTAGCCGTGCACAGCACGTCTCAGTGCTTGGATGTGCTACTGCTGATGGTCTCTGGTGATCAGGAATATAGAAAGGAATGCTCTCTAAATTTCATCAGATCCTACCAGCGCTTTGGTTAACATCAGTTATCCCGCAGAGCACTGGAGCTCTGTTTTTGCCCTGCTTGACTTCAATCTTCCTGCAATGCTAACGAAGGCAGACATCCGGGACTGAAAACAATTATTCTCATCTCCTACCGATTTCATAATTACATGAAGCTCACAGCTGAAGAGCTGCATTCCTTGTATGGAAGATGTGCCTTTCATTAACGGAGGGCTGTGCCACACCACCAGAAGCCAAATCCTGATTTTGCAGTCGGTTACAGAATCTCTGGATCCTCAGCCAAGACGCAGCTTTCTGGCTGAGCTGGGAGGAAGCTTGACACCAAACATGAGACGATGCAGGGTCACCACAGCTGCTCTTAGACAGCACTGCAGTGGATCCTGCAGATTCAGTTGGGATCTAAGTACTTCTTCCCACAGCTCTGCAGAGGGCTTTTCTATTTTACTTTCTCTTTTTTCTGAGCACCCCAAAGAAGACACAGGGCACACAGACAGAAATGCAGATAAAGAGCTGAAAAAGTGCCTTGTCTGTGGTTACCTAGCAGGTAATGCCATGGAGATGTTTTCTATCTCCTGTCCCTTCTCTGCCTGTAGCTATAACATAAAGAGCAAACTGTTCCCTTTCCAGACGGTCAGTTGAACAGATGCAGAGCATTTCAGTGGGGGTAGTTGACTCTCCAGCAGTTGGAAGGGAATTGTGAGCTTTCAGCTGACCTATACCGACCATCAGTTGAATTACTTTGCTCAAAACAATTCTGTCTGTAGGCTCCAGACAGCTTGAAGGAATCACTGAAGAGGGAAAGAGAAAGTTATGGGCAAAGAACCACTTGCCATCTATTAGCTCCTACCAAGCTCCATCAACAGCCTTCTGTTGGCAAATTCATTAACTCCCCCCACCCCAATTCATATGGATGAGCACAAACACAACCACACAGGGCTGCCATGATTCACACAGGTGACATTTGTCTGTATATCAAAGTTTAGTGTCCTGAGGCCCCATATCTGTCTTCAGACACAAAACTGTACAAAATGTACAAAATGTGTACATAGTTTCCATTTTGGCAGCATGCTACCTTCCATTAAACTCCATGTAAACTATTTGATGCCCTTTTTGCTCACGATGGAAGGCCAGCCCTGAGTAGGAGGAACAGTCTTCTCAACAGAGAGTAACAGCCTATGATTGTGCCTCTACATGGGCTCTTCATCTTTAAAAGCACTTCATACCTGTTAAGTGACTGATCAGAATCTATTCTAGCAAAAGGTGCTTAGGGAAAGACAAAGACAATCACATACTGAGATGCTTGTCCAGGTGCAGCTGGGTATAAACAGACTATGCCTGGGCACTGCTCTGAGAGCTGCAGCCCTTCCTTGCCTCCTCCAAGCTCACCGTGCTACTGCTGTGAGCCAGCAGCTGTCCTCCAACGTTTAGAAGCAGCAATGGCTGTCGCCTGGGAAGGAAACATGCCTTTGGCCCCTCTACTTTTACATCCATGGCCACAGCTTAATGCAGAAGTTCAGACCTGAATCCTAACTATTGTCAGAAAAGACATCTTTCTATTTATATTATTTGACTTAGCATCTCTGCTAAAGGAAATGATTAGAAATGTTTTCTACATCCATGCAAACAGGTTAGGAGAGTGGAGGGTGTGGTAGTGGGAATCATATGCCAAATCAAGATGTAAATTGCCTTGTTTATCTTCTGAATGAGTCATTTCAGGTCATGCAGATAACAGTGCAATCCCTTCTTTCTATCAGCTGTATTTTAAACTTACTCCTCTTTACTCAAGGACAGACACATAGGTTGCATCTCACTATCTCTAGTTTATTTAATGATGCACTGGAAGAGCATTACTTTCTTTTCTCTGGAAGTATTTAAGATCCACTGGGACACTTTCCTGCGTACCCTTTTCCAGGGAACTGCTTTAGCAGGGGATGCTGTGAGGGATCTCCACGGCTCCTTCCAGCCCCCACAGTTCTGTGCCTCTCTGAAAAGCTGTGGCTAAAAATCCGAAGCAAACACGGCAAAATGAAAGAGATGGATTCAAACATCAGGAGTCCCTACAAAAAGAGGCAAAAATAGATTGCCTAACTCACGTATATCTGTGGTGGAAGATGCTGCTGTTACTTTGCAGCTTTTTGGCTGAGGAGCTTGCTTAGCACAAGCTGCAATTTCACTGTGCAGTCAATAAAACAACAGCAGCAGAAGAATTAATTGGTTTGGCTGCGTATAACAGGAGCATGAACGTGCATACAGCAGGTCGACTCAGCACCTCTGCAGAGTTTCTGAATGCACTGAATAAAATGAAATGACAAAGGTACATAAATGTCTGCACAGCAGTCGAGTCCATCAAAATCCCACATCTTTATTCCATTTCTGAGAACATCTCAAAGTGCACCAGTGCCACACTGAGACAGATGCAGGAAAGCACAGTATGAATATAGGCTGGTAGCATTCTCTCACATATGGATACTCAGATCCAAAACAAACACTGAAATCCATCCGGGGCCTGAAAACATCAATGCAGCATTCACTGCTGCTGTCGTAGCTGGCTGTGTATGATTTCCTGGTGGAGGGAGGAGTTCCCTAATTTACTGGTGTGATTCCACACAGTCCAGTTCAATGGATTACTCAGTGTTGATTTTGGTAGCAGAAAGGTTAAGTGCTAGGGTGGAATTAACACAGATTTCTCTCATTGTAAAAAGCAGACGGACATTTTAGGTGCACTAATCCCACCGACAGTCCAGATTGGCAATCTTCCTTCAATGAATTGTTTCCCCCTGGAAGCAGCAGCACCTACATACCTAAGGAACACTAAGCATTTGAGTTGTGTCATATGTGCATTCTCCAAACTCCGCCTCACTGCCCTAGAATAGTACCCCTCTATTTCCATTCTATTAGCACTCAGGTCATGGCTCCTGTATGGGCTGGGACCGTGCTGTACCCAGGCTGCCTTGAGTAGCAGTGTGCAGGTTGGCTTCGTGCTCCCACCATCGGCTGCACTGAAGCAGTCAGTGTCCCACTGTCCATCGGAGCAGAGCTCTAGGAAATGTCTCTGCTGTGTCAAAACTCTCCCCACACTACAGCCACTCTTCCTAGCAGTGCAGATATCAGAGGGTTTGGGATCATGTATTAGCTTCTGTCCCTAGGTAAGGGCAAATACATGGCCACACAAGCGATAAAAACTTACATAAGCAGGAAAATGGAAAATAAAGTCTCTTTTCAGAACGGTTTGTGCTTTCTTAGTAAGCACCACTCCTTATTTACCAAGAAAAAAGGTCATGTATTCATTCCTTTTTCAAAACCTCAGTCCCTAGAGCAGCCCTGTGAAATAAATCTTTTTCCACGAGGACTGGGGGGAGGCGGGAGCTCCAATGCCATGCAGACAGCCATTGCAGGCAGAACATCCAATGCATGACAACAATAACACAGAGCAGTGGTCAGTTCTGTCGCACAAAGATCCTTAAGAAATCATGCAATTTCTCACACTCGTTTGCAGATATTTAAAGAAATATTTCCGAAAGGTAAAGTCAGTTGCCATCACCCCCCGTTCCAATGCAAAGACCAGAACCTCCACTCAGTTCTCGCAGGGGTTGCACCATAAGGAACATATCGTCATTGAGTTTTGGAAAGCCAGCCTGGCTGGCTGACAGTGCCCCACTGTAACTCACAGAGAACACCAACAAGTGAAAGTATTTTATATGTATTGTATAAATGTTTATAATAAAAGGTCATAACACATGTAGCCGCATTACAGAAACAAAAGGACTGGAATGCTTGCACTGCAGCTTCATGGAGGAGGTGAGAGCAGATACTGAGATACAGGACTGCCAACACTATTTCAGAAAGAAGGCCAAATTGTGGCACCCGGCCCAGGGGGGCTCGCAGTGAGGGCCATCGTGCCTTCTGCCAACAGCCCTTCTCCAGCAGCTCTCTGGAGCTCCCAGGGTCCGGCCGGGTGACGCTCAGATCAGGCTGGCAGCCAGGAATCCCCACGCTCTGCTTGCAAACCAATTGAGCGGAACTGGAAGGGACAGCTGACAGAAGTGGACTCTTTGTCAAAAGAAGGCAGCTCCTTGGCAGGAGCTAGAAAAAGCGACACGTTGCCACGTGCACAGCAGTTACCAGCACAGGGCTCCTGTAGCAGGCAGGTTATTCGTGGGTTTGCCGAAGCCCCGTAGCTGAGCTCAGAACCCGCTTACAGCTCCGGGGAGACGTGCCTACCGCCAGCAACCTCACTCCGTTCCCCCGGGAGAGGAGCCCCGAGACAGCAACGCGGAACGCCCGGCTACCGGCTACCGGCTACCGCCCCCCGCTCTGTGATGGCGGCGCGGGGTGGGGAACGGGCGGCCCCGCGGGAGGGGCGGCGGTGGCGGCCATTGGCGGCCATTGGCTGGGCTCGAGCCGCCGCAGCGCCCCGCACGGGGTCGCCGCCTCCTCCTTCTGTTCCTCCTCCTCCCGGTGCGGAGAATGGAGACGCCGTCGCCGCGGGGTTTCTCCGAGGACCAGTTTCGGGCCGCCTGCAGAGAGCTCGGCCAGACGGCGCCGGGGCCGCCCTGGCAGCTCCTGGTGGAGAGCATGGGCGTCAGCATCTACCGGCTGTACGACGAGGTGGGCGGGCAGCGCGGCTCCCCGTGGCCGAGCCCTGCGGGCCGGGATCGCGGTCTGGCCGAGTACCGCCGCCGCCCCAGTTCGGTTTCTCCCGGCTCTCAGAAAGCGGCTTGCAGCGTAATGCTATTAACTGCTGATGGAGAAAGCCGCTCTGCTGCTGCTGCTGTAAACACCGCTCTTCCGAACGGCGGCGGGCAGCGGCGGGGCGCACGAAGCCGTTAGCGCACAGAGCGCTCCGCCCCGGGCTGCTGCCGCCGGCGGCTTTGGGTGGGCATCGCCTCCCGGCTGAGAGCTCCCTGAAACGGCTGACTCGTTACAGTTTTCTCATTGTAAACGGCTCTCTTACTTGCTGCGGGATGCGCTGCTTCGCTTTTCAGATAGTGATTCGTTATTTCATTCTCCATTAAAACGCTACTGCTAAAACTAAAAGGTTTTTAGCAAAAGTTACTTAATGATGTAGGCCATGATTTGTCCAGCAATGGAACAAACACGTTGGTAGAGAAGTACGGTATCATTTCTACAACTGTGGTTCTTTTGGGGCTGTGGTTCAAGAGTTAAAGGCAGCAAAGCGACCGTGAGCCCATGAGCCGTCCTGTGGCTGCCTTCATTTGTAAGGTGCAATCAATCAGTTAATTCCGGAGGTCAGGTAGCGGAGCAGTTGTACTTTGTAGCAGCTCCTGAGCTCTGCGATAGTAAATTACATTGCTACCAGCACTGTGCTGAACAGTTCAACATTGAAGCAAGGGATTGATGCTTCACTGGTGCTACAGCAAAGATAGCTTAAGCTTCTTGGGCCCATTGTTATCTTCTGCTACATTAAAACTTCATTTTTTACAGTTGAATTGTAGAGCATGAAGAGGGGAAGAGAAGAAAGATCAACCATTCACCAACAGAATGCTGTATGATCCCTCCTTCTCTCTCCCCGGGATTGCTTGAATTTGACTCTTACGCTGCATTCTTAAAATACTCTCATTGTTTTAGTGTAGTTGTGAGCTGGTACTAACAATAGTACAACGTTGCCCTATAGGCACAGATGTCATTTCCATATGTTAGGAGAAGCATCAGTTAGTGTTGGAGATATCCTGCACCACACCCCTTCAGTGCGGGCAGCTTTCACAAAGAAAATAGATAAAATAATACTCGAGGCAAACATATGTAGTGTGTTATATATAAGCATGAATATTGTAAAGCCTTTCTTGTGACACAGCCTCCAGTATGAGCATAGCAAACTTGCTGGAAGAGTTCTTCCAGGTCAAGTACTGCTGGGTAACCTCCTAGAAGTGAATGAAGTCCATATGCTCATTTCATAGGGCCTGGAGACTCTGCCATAACAATTAAATGCACATCTTCTGATGTGCCTCAGTGTTGTCAGGAGTTAGTCTGGCTGCCCTGGCTACTGGAGATGAGAAGGGGTGAGTGCATGAAGAAATGTCCCTTTGGAACTACTTATAAAGTAAAAGAGTACCATGTCAGGGAAGGCACAACCATTGTGCCAGGCAGGTCAGCCTGTCCGGATTCATACTTTCAAGTATAGATCAAAATGTCAAGAGGTTAAAGACTGAATCTTGCATTGTTTTTTCAACACTTGCTTTCACGGCTCCTGAGCATTTTTGTAGTATGTGCCCCACCTAATTTCCTTCAGCTGTTCTCTCTGCTGCAGAATACTTCCCTTTCCTGTGTGACTTTTCCTCTCCCTATTCTGTTTTCCACAGCAATCAGGACTTTATGAGTATAAAATCTTTGGAGGTCTAGCTGATTGTCCCCCAAAACTCTGTGCAGATGTCTATATGGATTTAGAGTTCAGAAAACAGTGGGATCAGTATGTTAAAGGTAAGCTGACTTTGGTGGTATAAAAGCCAACTTTGTGTCCGCGCTGACTCTTCCCACTAAAACTTTCTTCAAAAGTATTTTAAAGTTTGGCTTGTTATTAAATGTGGAGGTTGGTGGCCCTGCATGTGGCAGGGGGGTTGGAGATTCATCATCCTTGAGGTCCCTTCCAACCCTGGCCGTTCTGTGATTCTGTAAAGCTGTGTTGTCGAAAGACTTCAGTACTGACACGAACGTATTTTGGGATAAGGTTTTATACGCAAGTAAACGCTGATATGAAACAGCTAACATGTCACTGCCACATAGCTTCCTGTTGGAACAAATTCTTTCCATGTTGATTAAAGCACGTAATTGGCACTGCTTGCTATGCTGAAGCACCTTGCAGCTTCTAGACACTTATGTGGCACACGTCAGTACATGGGCACAACTCAGAAGCTGCCTCTAAATTAGTAAAGGTGTTATCTGTCTAAATGGACAAAAGCTTTTTCGTAGCAAAGGCTGCTTTGCCACTAATGAATCTGAACAATATGAAGGTGGGCTCCAAATATACAAATGCCATTAAATTGGATATCAGATGTGTTAGCTGAAGTCACTTCAGCAGTCTTTAAGTGCATTTGGTAACGCCTTCTTTGAGAAAAGAAAGGAAGCAGTTGGGGGAAGCTACACCCTTAAACTAAAAACTAGATAATGTTTGCAGAGCTGGCGTTTTTATCCTTGCTGCCCTTGATATGTTTGTCTGCAAATTCATACTTGTGTTGGTACTTCCAAGTACAACGTTGCACAGCAGTTAACCCTGTAGGAGCATAAACATAACGGTAAAGCTTTCCTGTTAGCTCAGAATTTGGCACAAGCTTACCCATTCCTTAGAACTGTGAAATAGTGCTAGTCAACATTTTCAATGTAAGTTATATAAGATCTTTCTTTTCTGCCTTTCCACGTAGGGTGAACAATGTGAAAGCTTCCATTCAGAGTCTCTTTGCTCTTTGTTTTACTGTTTGTATTCCTCATTGCTCTTACAACTCTACAGTAACAGCAGTCCAAGGAAGAGTTCTCTGCTCAATTACTGCCTGAAACTGAAATAAAAATGAGTCCAGAATAACAGTAGCTGACATTTTAGTTGAAAAGGTAATTGTTCCTGCACCAAGCATGAGAGGAGCTAATCTCTATCCTCTGGTTCTGTTCAGGAAAACCTGAGTGAAGGCAGATATGAACAGGATTCCTGCGAGTACTTTAGAAGCTCGTGCCTTGATCTCATTTTGCCTAGGGTTTGCCCTGGCCTCTGAAATGTCCCCATCAGTCTGCTACTGCTGTTGCATTGCAGTTAGAACTCTGGCAATTTCCAAAGCAGTTTCTTGGATATCATAGAGATATCCACAAGAGCAGCACCTCTCAGCTGTGATGTGGATATCTGGGCCTGTGCTGAAGCTGTCAGTTCAGCAGGGAAGCTGTGACTGAACAGTAGAATAGCAATGGAGGCACCGCAGGCTCCTGTGGTATGAAACAGAACGGTTGGGCCTGAGCAGTACTGAAAATTGCTGCTCCTATTGCAACACTGTGCTGACCAACAATTTAATAGTAGCAGTTGACTGCTAAAGTAGCAAATATTGATTATGAAGAAGTCAGACCTGTGGTGTACTGTAGGTGGACCAGTCATTAGTTAACAGTTACGTCAAGGTCTTTAAATCTGTGTTTTAGCTTCTTTGTAAAAGAAAAGCTCTACAGTTAAAAATGAAAGAAAAGCTACTAAGCCAATACTCCAGTGACCTCTGCTGGAAAGCATAACACTGTAGCTGATTGCAGCATTGGGAGTTTTAAGCAGCTGCTATTGCTCCACTCTGCAGAAGAGGAGATGCTGTTTTTGTGGATGACAGCTGATTTGCAGAGTATAATAATGGAAGTCCAGTTGGGAGCATGTTATTAAGGGAAAGCATCTGCCACTTGTGGCACTCTTCTTGCCTTAGCAATATTCTAGCCTTATTTTCAAAACTGTGTGAAGTGACATGGCAGACTTGTGTTAGTCCTGAAGGATATGTAGTACCTCAAAGTAGGTCTATCCTAATGGAGAAGAGTGCTCTGCTGTTGTGAACTACCTGGTTTGGATCATACTCTTTATAGCTGAACCTATGAAATGACCAGCCCCTGGACAGGCAAAAACTCACTCTGGCTCAGGTCTGTGACTTGTCAGATCCTTACCCTGAGGATGCCAGTTCCTGCATGAAGATGCTGTGCAATAGAGAGTTCTTTAACCTCAGTTTTATTGTTTGATTTGAACTATTTTTCTCCTCTATACCACACTACTTCTATATGAGTCACTGCCATGTTTTAGGGACTATTCTTAGCTATTTTTTCCCCATTCAGCTGCCTTCTGGTTGAGTTTCAAGGCAGACTGAAGGTGATATAACGAAAGCTCATAAACTGTTCAAGTTTTGTGTTCACTGTTGTCTTCACATACCGCTGTGAGCTTCCTAATAGCTCTTCTAAACTTCACTAATCTGTCCTGTGAGACCTCTTCAGGTGTTAGAAACCAGCACTTATCGTAGCCTCGTGTTAATTCAATCATTTACAAAGATAATGACGTGCTTGTGAAAAAGTTCTACGTGGTGGTTCAAAGTAATGCAGAATTTGCAGAGGTGAGGAGAAAGTTTTGAGATGGAAAGGCTTTGAATGAGATAACTGTCCAAGAAGGAATTTGATTATGGCCTCCTCCCGGAATTATTGTCCTTTTTTTTTTTCTTTTAGCATCAATGAATTGAGTAGTAGCAGAAAACCAGGACACCTATGTTTGTGTGTTTGGTTCCTGAACAATCCTGCTACAGATTTATTTTGTCAAGTCTTCTACAATTTTACATACATGTCAATTTTGCACTGGAAGGGGAAAATATCTAACAATCTTTTTCAACTCTAGAATTGTATGAGAAAACGTATGATGGTGAAAAGGTAATCTACTGGGAAGTGAAGTACCCTTTTCCTCTCTCAAACAGAGATGTATCCTTTCAAACTTCTGCTTTTTGTGGCTTTTATCACCCTGTTATCCAGGAATCCTGACAGTGTACCGAGTACTGCTCTCCTGCACTTGATCTAACATCATAAATGTGTCCTCGTGCTATATCAATATGTATAGCATGAAGAAGAGTGTAGGTTCTTCTTCCCACATACAACTAAATCTCACAGTCAAATTATTACTCTGTGGGATTGAGTCATGCAGAAGGGTGAGAAATAACTGGTATTTGTAATGGAATCCACCTGTCAATTCATCATACATCAAACTGACACTGTTTTGACATGCCTCCTCAACTTGGAATACAGTATGTCTATATTCGTGAATGTCAAGAGATGGATGTTGATGGGCGGAAGATCTGGGTTGTGTTAGCTCAAAGTGTGTCTGTTCCTCAGTGCCCTGAAAAGCCTGGGATTATCAGAGTTAAAAGTTATAAACAAAGTCTAGCAATTGAAAGTGATGGCAGGACTGGATCTAAAGGTAAGAAGTTAAAAAAGTGTGACTGTGTTGCCTAAGAATGTGTGCATTAAGAAAAAATGCATGAAGAGGGAGAGTGGAGATTTTAAGCTAAAAGCAGTTACTAAAAATTGTATGTACTGAGCTCTCGGAGTGTTAAAATGAATGAGCTACCCAACAAAGACATACCTGTTCAGTTGAGTAGAGTTTGATGCTAATTGGAAATTGCTTATTTCAGCAATGATTTAAGTAGCATGTTTGGTAGACCTACAGAAGACAGGGCTTTCCTAGAGAGTGGCTCCTGACTGAAATTAGTCCTTTAAAGACAAACTTAGAAGATAAAACAGGCTGCCCAAACTAGTTTGGAATAATATAAATTCGTATGATCACTCTCTGAGCTCCCCAGAGATTAACCAGGAAATGTTATGCACGCTTCACGTTCCAATTCAATACAAGTTTGAGGTTTTTTTAGTAAAGGACTTGGATCAAAAACTGTTGAATGCAGTGCTTCAGTCATGTGCCTTGGCAGCCCCTATCACATGGTGTTAGAGCTAATACTCAAAATGTGTCTGGATAACTTTCTGATGACTTCTCTCTCATCTCTAGTCTATATGTACTACTTTGATAATCCTGGTGGCATGATTCCATCGTGGCTGGTCAACTGGGCTGCCAAGGTAAGTAAAGCTTGATGGTGCAATTACCACTGGCTACTCTGTTTTGAACAATCTATTTGCTGCATCCAAACCTGTCTTCTGCAAGCTGAGTAGAATATATATATATGTAAGTAAGTGTATGTATGATATATATGTGTATATATATATTTTTTCTGAAATAAATGCATTCATATTCCTAGCTCTGAGACAGTTCCATTTTAGAGACATGCTATTGTCTGCTCTCCTCAGAGCAGCTGTCTTAATGTTTTTTAATTCCTATCTTATTCTGTGCAGTAGTTAACTGGGCAGGTAAATTTGTACAAGAAAACAACCAATCAACATTCCAGACCATATGTGAGTAGTCTTAATGTTTGCAAACTTCAGTAATGCAGACTAGTCATGTAGTATGAAATGAATGTCTGCTGCTTTGTACCAGATCTTAGAATTGCCCAGGATTTGTCTGAAGGTCTTGATCGATACAGTGGGAACAGTGATCTTAATAGAGGTCTTTTTTTTGCTCTTGGTTTGCTTGTTTGGTTTTTTATTTTGTTTTGTTTTGCATTATACAAAAGTGACTTATCTGCTTCTCTCTTTACAGAGTGGTGTGCCTGCTTTCTTGAAGGATATGCAAAAAGCTTGTTGTAACTATTCTAGAAGAGCATAGGTCACATTTGATCTGAATTATTTAATTCCCAAAGTTCTGCATTACAGAATGGCTATTATGTAACACACTGGATAAAATCTACCTCTAATATTGGAAAGAATTTCTGTTGTTGCTTTATGCCTTGAATCTTATTAGACCTTTGTTTCCTTCTCCAAGGGAAGTTCATTGCCAACATGTAATACCACCATCAGCTGCCTCCTTTTCATAGCACGTACATTCTGTCATGTCACCCATGCTTTGTTTGTGCTGGTTGTCAAAGGCCAGATAGAGTTTACTGATTAAAGCATCACATCTTTGGGCAAGAGATAATAGCTTTTACTAGGAAAAATGTCTGAATTTATGCTGAAATTTCTCTGCATGTGTTACGTCTGGGTCTCTCTTTGTGGCCTTGCAGGGTGACTTACTGAAACTGAATAACACAACTCGCATTGCTTAGGAGGAAATGCTTTTGCTACCTGAATTTATCATACTTAAAATGATCCTCTCGACTGAAAAATAAAGATTAGCACATAAAGGTAAATTACCTGAAGCCTGCAGTAAGCTGTGATGGCTTTAAGTTCAGATATAAAAGGATGTGTATGTAAAGCCTTGCATTCACATCTCGGGATGCCTATATGGAAAGTATAAAGCATCAGCTGTGTCTAGCCAGCAAAAAAAGAAGTTTGCTTCCATGGTTAATTTAATGGAAGCAGCTTGGACACCAGCTCTGAATTGGAAATAATTCAATTTTTACAATTGGATGCTTGTAACTGCTTTAGAGATGCTTGTTTCCCTGCTTGTGAATTAACTTGATATGAAAGTCTTGGTGGTTTTACATTTTTAACACTGATGTAAAGAATGAAAATGTTCATTTTGGATGGCAATCCACGAGAAGCACAACCAAGCAGGAAGTTACTTTTGCAGCACTTTTGCAGGGGAAGGACAGAGTTCAGCAGAGTTGAGAGATAGTCTCAGGGATTGAAAATATTTTGCATCTTTACTAAATCTCATCTTATTGCTGAACAAATCCTGTGATGGAGTAAGCTTATATTGCTAAAGAAGAAATGGTTGAAGTTCTTGCCTTTATACTTGGTGTGTTTCCAATAAATCATTACTGTATCTGTACTGTTTTTTTTTTTTTTTTTCATTTTTCTCATGTTTAAGACTGGCTGTGCTGGGCAGGTCGCAATGACAGGCAGATGTCCTGTGCTGTTTTATTTCTAAAGCACTTCTGAAGAATAAGTTGGATTCATGAGAATTAGTGGGATTCCATGTGTTCTGACAGCAAACTTCTCAGCAGTTCAGGTTTCTTTTTAAGAGTCTGACTTGGATACTGTTACTGAATTGGACATTGGGGTACAAGACCACTCTCAGTACACTCTGAATTCAGTTGTTGCAACGTTTCTATTTTTTTTCCAGCAGATAAAGAACAGACACCAAGGGAGCATAGTACTGAAACATCATTGTCCTTCACTTTCCATTGTTTTCATACCCATACACTTACTGGAGCTCCAGAAATGAATTATCTGTCAAAAATACAGTGTTCTACTTGAGCATTATCAATTGTCAAATCTCCTTTTTTGGCAGTGTTACCAAAAATTATCTTGAGCTTCAGAAGGCGTTTTTGACAGTCTTAAATATGTAGGAATTCAAAGCAGTAACAGCAGTACCAGAGTTGCTTTTGAACAGGATTGGGATATATCTGAAGCAACGTAGGAGCTGGGTTGATTGTTCAAGAAGACTGAAAAGCAAAACAAACTGTTGTGAACTTGAAGATACCTTGAAATGTAGAGTTCCAACATTTGCAGAGAATACATGCCTAGTGAGCTGAGTAACTGCACAGAGATGAATCATATATGAGCTAATTTTCTTCACTTTCTCCAACTATTCCATACTTTGTTTCTTCTTTAATAGAAGAGGAAGTGTTTTGTAATTATAAATACCTGATTGCTTCCTTGTCATTCTTACAGCTACTTGTCAGCAAGACATAGCATGCATTTGTTTGCATTGGGCTCAAACATTAAGACTGAGCACTGAAGGGGCTGAATGTTCCATTGTCAGTCTTGCTGAAAACTTCATTTCCTACAGACCTCACACTGAGACTGCAGAATACATGGCATTTGCTCACGTACCCTTATTAGAAGCCACTGACCAGGCAGTTTCTTGTGCTGTACACAACTTTCCAGATTAAAATTCACATTCAATTAAACAGTAGCTACTGGAAACAGCTTTTCTTTTATTCACACTAAGCAGTGAAGTGAGATGAACATAACACCAGATTTTCTGTTGAATTTATGTCCCCGTTCTCTTTCATAGTGGTATAAATGTGTAGTGGCACTTCATTCGATTTATTCAAGCATTGGTTATTTCACCTATCCTGTACTGCCAGGGAAGAAAAAGCTGTTGCAGCTTTGTGTGCTGTGGCTTCTTGTCCAAATGAACAAGAAAAAAAAGTGCTGGTATTTTGAAGTCTTCAGATGCAGAAGACAAAAACATTATATAGCTTTATTCATAACTGATTAAGTTTTGATCTCGTATAAACTATATCTATGTTATGAAGAAAAAAGTTCATTTTTGACATTACTGCTCACCCACCTCCTGTTTCCATGAGGATTGATGCTGGGCAACGTGCAGCACTTTGTCCTGCCAAAATGTGTATGAGAAAATGGATAGCCCTCCACCCTTCGAGTTATTATTTCATGACTGTGACAGCAAATGGCTTTGTTGTAGCAGAGTGAATATAAACCATTCTTCCACATCATATTCTAGTCATTCAAATCCATTCTTTCCATATGATCTCTGTAAACTATTGTATTTGAGTTGGAAGGTTAAGTAAAGGAAAGATTTTGAGTAACCCAAAGTCAACACAGTGAATGATGTCAGATGTGCAGTCACTGGTTCTGCCTCTCAGAAGATGATGTGTAAAGGGAAACACAAGTTGTCTTTGCTCAGGAAACATCTGGTTGATATTTTATTTCTCAAGCAGGTCATTGGCTTTTTATAATTGAGTGGAACAGAAAAATGTGGGAAGACAGGCGGGTAGATGTAGACTTCTGGTATTAATGCTCACCAGTAGGCCACTAACTTACCTTCCCACCAGCAATTCTGCTTTCTGTTTTAGCCTTCTGTGTATAAATAACATTTTCAAATGAGATCTAATTGTATTTAGATTTCAATTAGGCATGGATTTGCCTTCCTCCAGACAGGAGGATAGTTCATAACTACATTTACTGCCCCACTGTAGTATTCTGACCAGAGGAGAGTACCAGACTTCCAGACAGTGTTTCTTCCTTTTTCACTCATTTCCTCAAGCTCAAAAGGCACTGAAAACCTCCATGCAAAAACAGAGAGGAAGACTTACGACAGGAGGTAAGTTGTTATAAATCTAGATGGACTACATTGAAGATAAATGTTATTTGAGAAGAAATAAGAACAACAAATCTCTGTAACAAGATGTGTTTAAATGATTTCATAAAACACTCTGGCTTGTAATTGCAGACCTAGGAGAAATCCTGACCAAAATGGTAAATCAAGTTACTACTTAAGCACTTCTAATATTTTTCTTCAGCTGCCAATTAACATACTAATTAGGACTGCATATGAACACATATGCACTCATAAGACAGAACATCATATTTCCCTATTGATTTAATATTTCCTGTTCTTTGAGAACTTGACTGTAACCCATTATTCTCTAAATTACAAAAGTAGCCTTTAGTAAGACAGGAACATGTTAAAGGGGAACAGTTCTTCACTGGAAACCTTAATTTCCAAACTGCATACTATGAGTAAGTGTTTCACAGAACATACCATAGCAAAAAAGGAATTATATTGAATGGCCTTGAGCACAGGTATTAATGTTATCCATGAGAAAAACTGCCTCTGTTCCAGCTGTGCAACTAGTTGAACTGTAAGATGTTCCTATGGTTTAAACACAAGTAACCACAGCATAAAGATGTAAGTGATTTTGTTTCTGTCCCTTTGTCCTCCTCAGATAGACACTGTGATGCTGGAAGACCCAGTTTTTGCCCCAGACTTAATTTTCTTACAGAGTTTCTCTACAGAGGAACCTTGAGAATGAATCATTTTCATAGACTGTGCCGTTCAAGTTTTGGATTGCAGCAGTTCTTCCAAGAGATTCTATAATGCATAAAGCCAAAGGTTCCACCTACGTGCTGCACGTACTTCAAACAGATGCCTGCTGTTAAGTTACAGGGCTCACTGCATTTCTGTCTAAGCATACCTTGAAAGGTTTTAAGCCTTTCCCCTTTTCACCTAGAGTCCCTTTCAACCTAGAGTTGTGGGGGTTTTGATTTTTAATATCCCTAGTGCACATACGTATCTTCCAAAGCCTGACAGAAATTGTGTGTAATTGTTTGTAAGAGGATGTTTCATGTTCAGCTGCAACTTGAAGTTATGGTTTAAGAGTGGGTTTTAAACATTTTTATTAAGACCAGACTGCTGCTGTGCATTTTAAAAGTTAAAATATTTTCTCAGTATGGAAGTCATATAATTGAGCTGTGTATTTGAATGGAGAGCATGATCCTAGAAGAAGCCAAAATTGCCTGTCCAACCCATTTATCCCGTGAAAGGCTCATATGATGTTGTTCACCTACTGAAATAAAAACAAACAACAGGAACATTTCTTCAGTAGGAAATTACATCGACACTGAAAGGTCTATTGTCTGAGAGTACGAGGTGGGCATGTGAGAAAGTACATTGCCTTCCAATGTTGTGTTGTGTTGGGTTTCTTTGTAACACAAGGATAAACTGACTCTGGATAACACTGAAGATACAGTTCTAGGAACCATGAAGTGGAGAGCATTGCCACTGAAAAATGAGCTCGATGAATGCACTACAATGAGAGACAGACATGTCAGTAATTTAGGAAAAGGATTTTTCTTCTCTACCTTGCTCCAAGTGGATTTCAGAGCTAAAAAGTATTCTGGGGACCCTTAGAAGTCTTTTAGCAAAAGCAAGCCTAGAAATACCTGCTAGAACCCCAAATACAATTACAGACATCATAGAATACAAATGATTCCTTTTCATGTACATTTCACAAGTATGTGTATTTAACCTTTTTCAGACTAGTAGTTTGGTCTTTTTTTAAACACTAAATTTCATTGCTTTTGAGTTTATTTTGAAAGTGATTTGAGAACTAACACTTTCCTCTGAACCTTTTTATGATATCTAGATATCTGGATGTTTTACAACAAAATAAGGAAAGGTTTTTTCAACAACAATGATAATCAGCAGTGAAACAAGTTGCTCAGAGAGATACTCAAAGCTCAGCCAGTCAAGGCCCTAGGAAATTTATCTCACTTCAAAATTAGAGCTAACTTAAAATCTGGCACTGCACTGAATTGCGGGTGGGAGCAGATGATGACACAACCCCCACGCTTCATTTCCTGTTGCATCCAGCAGCTGTAGATCATATGTGAAAGGTTAAAGCTGGGAGAAAAACCTCAACCAAGCAAAGCTGTGATGTAATAAAAAAACAAGATGAAGTGCAGGTTTATTGTATCTAAGCATCCTAGCAGATTTAGCAGTTTTATCTCTACTACTCTGCACACAGTTTTTCAAGGGAACATACTGAGCCCAATTGCACTCATGAAATTATAGCCTTAGGCTCTCTGGTTGTTTTTTTGTTGTTGTTTTTTTGTTTGTTTTTCAGATGGGAACATATACAGAATCATATTTAATTAAAATTAAACTAATATTAAGGGTATATTGTTAGGGTTGGTGAATGGAGTCTTCTTCATTAGACCTGATTCTCATTACCAGCCTAAATCAATATTTAGCAACAGAAGGTAAAGAAACACTGTATGGATTCCATAGTGGAGTTTCCAAGACCTGGTCCAATGGTTGACATTTCCAATTACTGTTTTCTTGTGAATATGACATCTTTTATTCTTACATGCTTTTTCCTTTCCCTTCCCCCTCCAGTACTGTGTCAACGTTTGGGATAAGCCCAAATCCTAATGTGTGATCTGACCTTCTGACATCTTAGCCAGTAAGCTACCAACTTAGACTTGCTTCCTGCTCTGGAAAGTAAAGCATAAACATAATGCTTAAGGACCTTAGCCTGCTTACCTATTATTTTTGAGTCTTTCAGTTCTTGTGCATTTTACTGTACTATAAAACTCCTGGATGCATTTTCATTCTGCACAAGTAATAAGAGTTTGTTTAATAGACTTAAGAGAGCAGATACTGGTTACACGTGGACACTGAGAGACAAAACCCACATGTTCTGATCCAGTAGATGATACTGCTAAATTGGCATCCTTATTGTCTTACACAACGACCTTGCATGCGCAGCCTGGTCAGCTGGCAGAGGCTGCAAGCATAGGATTATAGTCTGAAATGTGGCAGAAAGGTAGGAAAAAAAAAATATCCACGCTCAGAAATGTATGCAAGTGAAGTAAATGAGAACAAAGCAGCACCTGGAAAAGGACAATAAATACAGCTTCGTAGTGAGGAAAGACTACAGGAAACTGAGTACCTGAACACAGTAGAACCAGGAAGGCATATCAAAGCATTAGGAAAGGGCCACAGGTACAGCATAACAAACAAGGGCACCACTGGGCACACACAGCTTACTGATCTGTGCAGACTACAAATGCAGGGATCTGGGGAAATAGAAGCAGTGTGGATGCAGTATCTTTTTTTTTTCTTTTTTTTTGTATCTGAGAAGTCACATCAGCATTTCGTTTCCTTTTCCTGATACTTTCCTGATGTTTCACTGGAGGTTGGAAAATAACCAGAAAAATTGGAAAAAAAAAGTGATTTGGTTTAAAAAGTATTTTGCTAATTCATGCTATTCAGAGGCTAACATACAGTTCTAACAAAAAGTAGCATGTAACCATTCTACTCTTGACTTGGAGGCGAGGCACATACCAAGTTAGGTGTGTTAGTGATAGGAAGGACGCTCCCTCGGGTCTGCAAGAGGATTCAGACACTCACACACAGAGGTAAATTCTTGTGTGGGTGTCATATGGAAATCTAACCAAGCAGTTTCACTGAATTCAGTGAATCGAAAACCTCAATGCAATACCTTCAAAACTGTATCAGTAGTTTGGCCATGAGCCAGCAGAATGTTCCTGTGGCCAAGAAGGCCCATAGTACCCTAGGGTGCATTAAAAAGAGAGTGGCCAGTAGGTTGAGGGAGGTGATTATTCCTCTCTACTCTCTCTCAAAGATATATACAGATAAGTCACTTTATATCCCACCACATAGTTCATGGTAAAAATGTTAAAATTTTGCTTTTAAAGAGATTTATATTCTAAGGACTCCTTTAATGAAAAAAAAAAAAAAGAGAGAAAAAGAAGCATAAAAGTGATGTGACTTACTGGTTCTGTTCATAAAGGATCTGTTCTGCCTGAAGGATCGTGGAGTAAAAATGGGATGGAATCCTCATTGAAACTGAAATGAAACAAGTGGATATGACTCAACATTAAGTAGTAATCATAACTAACTCTTGATTTCATTTGTTTATCTCAAAGTTCTTTCATAAACAGTTAAATATCACTATTTGACAGAACACAAGGTATACTCATTCAACAGCAAAAAAAGAAGCGAATCTCAAATTTTCTCAAGCCATAGGCTTATCCACTACAAGATCATGCAATACCTTTTGATTTTATCATGAAATAAACAGACTACTGTCAAATCTGCTGCCTTCCTTTGGTGAACATTCGCTCAGGATGCTTCAACCAAGTTTTTCACATAAACCCTTATTTGACAAAATCTTTGACACTGCAAATAAGAGAAATCTTTGTAGTCCACAATGAGGAGGTGTTTTGGTGAAAAATCCATATTTGAGGAAGGCTTATATATTCATTAAATCAATGTACCAGTCACGTAAACACATCTATCATATCCATATCAGTGCGTTACTGACAAAAGCTTCTGGGTCAAAAGCATGCAAGCATTTAATAGTTTACTGTTTCATGTTTTGGACAGTAAGAACAAGAATCATGTATGGTATGTCAAGTTACATCTAATGAAAATCTCCATGCAAACTACAGTTTATTACGCTCTACCATTGACATAAATCATACTTATCTAGTTTTTAATGTAATTGCATAGTGCCAGATTTGGCTAAACGTGATATTCATAGAGCTGCTTGATTTTGCCAATGTCTGAACTAACAGTATCTACAGTTTTCTTGGCAGACACATAAAGAATACAATAGGCTTACCCTTGCAGGAAAGTATGCTGTATTCAGCACACAAAATGTGTTTGTGGTCATCTTAGATCAATTCACACCACAAGAGACTCAGAAAAAAAATCTAGTTCTAATTTGTGCTTGGTTTACATTTCTCAACAAAGATTACTAAAGACACAGGGAATTGATGATTTCTCTGGGAAGTGTAATAGGTTACTGCCATCTAGTGCCATGAAATAGACTCAGCCTCTGTCAGAAAGCTACAATACGACATATGGGAACATCAGGTAAAAGGGTTTCTTATCCATTCATCTGTGAAGCCAAGGATACAGGTGAGTGACGTGGTGACCTTTGGTCTGCCCCTGTGTTCTATCACTGGTTTATATGGAGTAAGATTGTAGTGGAAAAGCTCCAGAATCAGGAGCGAAGCAGGGCAGAAATTGTTGTGAGAATGCCTAAGATCATTGGTTTCAGAGACAAGATGAGAAGAGCGGTGCGGCTCGATAAGCCAACAATCTCTAGCCAGGATGGGGCTGTCTTTGTCTTTCCTTTTATTGAACAAAAAATAGCAGGACTCGCAGATGGCCTACAGATGGTTCCCTATTAAGATTTTCTTAAGACCATATGGTAAAAATTTGTCAAGGTTTGAGACTATGGCAATTTCTACATCGACGTTCAGAACTCTGACTTACAATGAAAAGAATATAATTAAAATTTTTGTGTTTGCTCAATGAGAACAGCTTCTGGATCCTGGTAAGATGTTTGGGTGGAAATGATGCATTTTAAAGGAAAGGCTGCCAAAGGAAAACATATTGAAACTGTATGAAACTCTGAGCGCTGTTAGGTAGTACACAACTGAAAGAACTTCAGTTGTCAGCACTCAGTACTTCATATTCACTGACAGCCATAATTTTAACTTGTGCAGTAGTAGGAAAGTTGAAAGTAAGAAAAGAACATTAGCATGGAAATAGTTTAAAACTTGACCCAAAACTTATTGGAATTTTGGGCCAGCATTTCTAATTGTGAAAGGAGAACTTCAAGTTTGGCTTATGAGCAGCATAAAACAATGCTAACTTATCTAACTTATCATAAAACAGAGCTAACTTATCTGCAGAAGACTGATGCTGGAGGCTTCTCTGCATTCTGTCATTTAAAAATCACCGCTATGTCCTCAAATAGAGGTGCTACTTGGGAACTGGAAAAGATGGAATAACTATTTATGAACTATGGAAATGTTTGGAAAAATTCCCTCAGCTACACCCTTCTTTTCTGTAATGTATTTCATATCCTATAATATACAAATTTAAGTAACAATCTGAAGTTTTAAAAAGATTCAAATATTATCTTTTTTCAAATATGGTTCAAAGTAAAAATGAAAAAAAATATTATTTCTCAAATCTTTCTTTTGAATTAAACCTGTGAATTCTTACCTATGCTTTCCTATTTACTGAAGCGACAGAGGAATATCTTCATGGTTTGTCCCACTGAGATTTAGTTTAATAAATTATATAGCATATCTAAGCATATCTTAAAATCCCTTTCTTCTATTGACAAAGGATGAATTCTCATGCCAGCTTGTCGTGAACAAGATTATGACAGCCTCCTGATATACAGCAATTTTACATTTCTTCATGGCTGTATTCATTTCTCTATTGGGTGAAAGTCTTCCATAAGAAGTCATTTGTTCCTAGTTAGTGGAAGTACACAACTTGCAACTAGAGTAATTTCAGAAGGGTTTATAGAAAAGCAGCTCACAGAGATTCTTTTGTGGTAGTTCAAAGCAAATCTTTTTCTATTTCTAGCCGCTTCTACTTGCAATGTGCAATAACCCCACAATCACAACAAGCAAAATACACTTCAGTCCAACTCCATCCTATAGTGATTGGAATGCTAAAAACAGTAAGATCCAAGTCAAATTTGTAACATTTGTTTCTTGAGTTTAATAAAAATACCAAATAGGAGTGCTGGTGAGATCTGCAATAGCCCTCTGGCATTATAAGAAGCAGATTACAGATGAAATGTTCATTTCCTTTCACCTTGCATTGGAGAACCCTTGTATATCCTTTATAAAACAACAAAAACAGTGGAATGCTGTGGGCCATTTTGCACTGTTGACTGTGAGAACAACACAAAATGAGCTCCAAAGTGGTATGCTTTGTAAAAATGGAATTCGGCTTGCTGTTTGGGGTATCTTTTAGTCTTTCCCTACTGATGCCTTTATTATGTAGTTTGCAAGCCATCTTCACTGTTCCTATGATCTCAGATGCTAATCATTACTTCTTCAATTCATTATCAAGGGGCATAGCAATGATGCATCTATAAACAATCCTCTTGTAAAAAGAAACACAAGATAAGTCTCTTCCTCCCTTTTCTGGTCCCTCTCCCATTTTTAAGTACACTCAAGACGTCATTCATGCTCATCAAAGAGAAAGCTTACCCCTTTCTAGGATCAGTATCCACTCACATCTTCTAGCATCTGCCAAAGATGTACAACCAACAGCGTAGGCTAAGAATGAGGTTTATTACTGGAATTCCTTGTACAGTACAAACCCACACAGTCAGAAACTCAAAGCAGGCTTACAAATCTCCTGGCACTGCAAAAAATACATCTCACCCCAGGCTACCAAAGAGTGAAGAAAGTACTGAAAAACCTGCCCACCAGCTTTTTATTTTCTTTGCTATGTACACAACCACTTCCCAAATAAAGTGAAATGTAGATATTTCCCACTGAAGAGAAACTATTTATTTTTCTTAAGTTATGATCAAAATAGGCTGGATATGCATTAATAGAAGGGTAATGCTTTCAAGTCAAACAATTTCCTTTCATTGCAACCACAGCAACAGAACAAGAAACTGAGTAACTAAAGCAGCAAAGTTGAGATCTGTTAATGATGAATCTGAAACTGCCTTTGTTCTGTGGCATCAATGTAATGACAGGTATGATCCCAAAAGAGAGGCTGCTGCAGCAGGTAGAAAACAGCTCTCTTCACAGGTCAGGCTTAGTTACTAAATCAGCTTCTAGAAGGGACTGACAGCTGCATAAGATTAAAGGAAAGGCCATTCCATCAAGGAAACAGAAAACAAGTCTTGTATTCCTGAAGAAACAGCAACGCTGTATGGATCCATGGGACCTTTTCCTACTTCCTTTTTGCAAAGATGAACATCCTTCTCCTACAGTGAGAAAGGTGCAATATAAACTAGGCAACACAATGGCAACTGGAAAAGATTATCCAAAAGAAGACACCAGCATGAACGGATTAAGCTTAAGAAGAGAATTAAGCGAGGATCTAACTACAAAAATGAAATTGCTGGCCTAAAGTCTGAAAAACAGAAAATCATAATCACTGGCTCCAAGCTTTGTAAATCCTTCCAACCAAGTATGAAGAAATATCCCTATCTGAGGCTGAAAAGATGGGGCACATTACAGTGGTAGGGTGGTTTTCCTTCAGATTATATCAAAATAATTGATGGGAATGATTTGTGGCATGGGAAAGTTTGCTCTTGTCACAAGGGAAAGAACTACTAAAAAGGCAGCCTTGGATTGTCTCAGGGGTAAAGGTTTTCCTGATTGAGATTATTTATAGAGAATTAGTTTTTATGGTGGGCGTTTTATTTTTTTTTCTCTTGAAAATTCCATCGGTTCCTTGTTATTCATTTCAGATGTTCCATATGAATGAAGCATAAGGTGTCCTTCGCAGGAAAAATCCAGCAGGAACTCAGTAAACTCACTGTAAGTAAATTCAGAATTTAGAAAATTACAGAAATTTATCAATACTATTTTGTCTTTTCCTCACCAGTCACCCAAGGCGTTGGAATGAATGGCGTAGGTTGAAGTGAATCCTCTGCAGCACAGAATGTATGTGTAGTATGTATGGTGTAATGAATTTATCTGCAACCACATCAGAACTCTTGAGAGCAGTCTGCAGATTTAAAAGATTTCCTTGTTGCATCTGCCAGGACGTTCTGCATGGGAAGCGGATTGCTACTGAGCTTTTATTGCATTTGCAGAATAGATTTTTGCAGCAGCTGATAAACATTATTATGTTTCACTGAGATTATTGCACCACACGGTCTTCTACTCTTATTAACAGCTCTATTATGTTCAGCATGATTATAATAACAGTTTAATTCTCTGAAGTTTTCTATGCTTTTATGTTTCTCGTTAGCGATTCTAAGGAAAATAACATTCTCCTTGTTTAATAAGACATCCTTTTTTTCATACTTTCTTGGACAGCAAAAGATGCTTTAAATCAACATTTAAAATAAGAAAGCCCGTATTTAAAAAAAAATAAACTACTTTAGGATGATGACTTAAAATTCAGACACAAAAGGATACAACCACATACTAACAGCCCAGTGTGCCATTAAAACATCAGGGCATGGGCTTAGAGGGCAATACTGATAGATTATGTCCTTGTGCACCTTCCAAGCTGTTGCTCAGATCACGCTGGATCTCGGACACTCTTCTCCCCAGAAAGACTGCAGGTAACTGGTAAAATGGTACACAGCATGCTTTATATTTCCAGTGTCGTGTTGTCCTACGTCCATTTTGTGCACTCAGAGGCTTCCACATGTAACACATACAGGCTATTAGGATATATGGGCAATCTTTTTTGGATGCAGATCTTCTGGATGCAAGTTTTGATACAGTGGTAGTTTCCTTCAATCTCTCCCTTCCCATGGGAAAAAGAAAGGAGGGAATTTAAAGGTAATTTTCATTTCCATTCTTCTTTTTTATTGAAAGACAATTTTCACTTTCCACCAAAATTCCCCCCAAAATTGAAGATGGAACTCTTTCTAGAGAAAATATAATTAGAGAGCGATTTCTTTCATGAGGGTTGATTCAATAAATGACATTCATCCATATGAAGGTATGGAATCTTTCAGCATAATTAGAATGGGATCATTTTACAGCTGAGCACTCAATGCCTCTGCTCTCCTACAGTATTGCCTTTCAGCACACTGTTCATCAGCTGCCTAAAAGATATGGAGGAAATGTTTGAGACAGTGCAGGTATCAGTACTTCCCTTTCTTGGTCTGTTCCATTGGAAAGTTAATGCTTTAGATAAGCAAAACTGACTTGTAAATCTAGTGAGCCAACCTTTGCCTCGGTAATGGAGAATTCCCACTTAATGCTCCCTTCACATTTGAATTGTTCAATAATTTCTTCCTTCGCCTTCCAAATAATAATGTATGTTGTTTCTTGCAGAAAATTACTCTTATAGTCTATTCCATGCACTGACTGCATTATAGGGGTATGTGTTTGATCTCTGTATATCACGTGTGAAGAACTTCTCTGATTTCTTTTATATTGGTCAGTACCAAACAAGTGCAAATTATTTTTGTGTAAGTTCATTCGTTATCAGCCATGGCAGACTTTGCAATAAACGTTTGGAGGTGGAAGAAATCCTTTCTAGAAAGGAAAATTTATTGCAAATTTACCCCAGAGGAAGTGGGTCTGCATGCTTAGCATTAAGGAAATGATTACAGTCATTATGGATCTCTTTGTTACAGAATTCACAGAAAAAAGTGCACTTAAGAAATACTTAATGCCTCACTGTGAATTTATGCCTGTGTTTACCCATATGAAAAATTACAAAGCATATTTATCAAATTCAAACTTTATGGAAACAGAGGAAGCAGGGAATTGTATTAAAGTAGCACTTTTCTTACATGAGAAACTGAACACCCTTTTGGGTCTCGGGTGTTTTAGAGTGATATCCCTCCCTACTTCATGGCTTACTTTTTCTTCCTAAGCTGTACATGAAACACTACATGATTTCTGTGGCAGCAGTTCCAGTTCATGTTGTCCTTGTAAAAGAATTAGGGAGTTTCTTGTCACAATATTCATCAAGAACACGATTCTTGGCATCAAGGTGGGCTTATGGTCTGTACATTTATGAAAGTCTTTTTTCCTTCCTCTCCTTCCACTCAATGACAGTGCTCCATCCGCAACAGTCAGAACCTCTTAGTTCAGTCCATCTCATTTTTCATTATGTTTTTATTGTTTTCTGTCCATCAAACTGGACAGAAATGGCTACCAAGGGATTTTAACCTGTTCTGGTGAAGCTTACACTTTTCAAATAGTAGCTGCTAACGCTGTATGAGCAGGAGTTCAAGGAATCTACTTGCCCCATAAAAAGACTGTTATGTTTGCTTTTCTATTTTAAAAATGGGAATTCAGGCTATTTGGTGTCAAAAAGTCTCCTACACTGAAAGATTCCCAGACTTCACCAAGGCTACAAACAGCTAATGTGGCTCTAGCTGCTAAGTTTAACAGCTAACATATGAGGGCACTACAGCTAAGGATATCAGACTTTCCGAACCTTTCTCCTTATGTCACTTCAGACAAATACTTTAAGATCTTGGTTCCTTGACTATGAAATGAAAATATTCTTTTCTTGTTTCCTGGAATGGGAGATGCTGTATGAGCCGGTAAGCTTATACTCTATTAAAACACTACCAGCACTAAATAACAGTTGTGCTGCAAGAAGAACAGTTTGTCTGTGTCACAGGCAGCTGGGAAGCTACTCACCTTGTCTTTGTTCATTGTTTTAGAAGTTTCTGAAGTTTTAGAAATAGATTCTGGTCTGCTCTCTGCCCCATGAAACATAAAGGTTAGGGCTGGCACAAACAAAAGGCTGAAGATACAATGCGCTGTGAGACTGCAGGAGCCCCACACGGTTGGACATTTATCAGAGTTCACCATGGAAAGGCTTTTTTTGTATGCAGTAAGTTTAAGTGAGTAGGAAAAACGAATTGCTTTGACTTCAGGAGGCCAGAAAGTCTGCAGGCAAGCACTGTGCAGACCTTCAGGCTGGCCTGCAAAGGCTCCTCCGTTCTTGCCCTCAACACTCCTATCATTGCACTGCAATTGCTGCCAGTTGGCTTGGTAACCATGGGCATATTTGAACAGCTGAATTCTTCCCTCAGTTACACTTGGCACCACTACCAACTACAGGGGAGCTACAGGGTGTAATTAAGGGCAGAACCAGCATCCACTACAAACCAGGTCAAGGCCACCAGATGAATTTTTATCCTTATGTTTTAATCCATACCGTTAACAGGAGGAACCCACAGCATTACCTGTACCACCTCGCTTGAGAAAGCCAGGCTCCCGCACAGGATTATGCTGTGCACCAAGCTCTGTCAGCACGCCAGCCGGGTGGCAGCAGGGCATGTCTTGCAGCCGAAGCGCAGCCCTGCTGTCACTCCCACCGCCGCCCGCCCATGGCCCGAGCTAAGCCAGCTCTGGAGCTGCAGTTGAAGCAGTGCTTTGTTTTTACCACATATTTTCATTTCATAAAACAGAGCTAAGTACTCTGAAACTAAAGGAGTACTTTTTCATGCTGCTATAACTTGTGAAATAATGAGACATTTTGGTCTGTTAACTCCTCTTAAGTCTCACCGCAACGTTATGATTTCTCTTCATTTGCGGTTGTGAAATATTTACTTTTCTATTTAGCAGGTTACATGAAGCTGTATATTTTGTCTTGGGAGATACAT